TTTAAGCCACTGGGTCTGGGACTCGAACCGCAGTCGACTACATGGGAGTCCAGCGACATAGCCATTATGCCAACTGCTGGTCCCAATTTATTTATTTTAACTTTATTTGTTTATTTATTTTAATTTGACAAGAGAGGGACAGAATGAGAGTGAGAGAAAGAGAGAAGGGAAAGCAAGAAAGCAAGCCTCCAGGTCCAGGACTCAAATTGCCGTCAGCCATGTGGGAGTCCAGTGCCCTTAACCACCATGCCACCTGCCAGCCCCCCCAATTTAATACTTAAACAAGAAGTTGAATATCGATACACTAGCAAGGGAGAGTTATTCCCCCGACCCTAGAGCTGCTGGCAAAACAACCCGCTGCTTGCCGCTGCTTGGGCAGCCTGGAAGGCTCACTCAACAACCGACAGCCCTCTCGCCCTGGGCCCCTGCCAGCCACTCAGTGCTCCCCAAAAGGGATGAACCCTCATGTCCTTCCTCTCCTGGACAAAACATCTGTAAACACAGCTGCCAGAGACAAGCCAGAAACAACAGCAGAGGCGAGAATCTGGGAGGATATGAGGATCATATTACTGGTCCCCAGGGCAGGCTCCCACAGAGCCGCCCTGCCCTGTCTCTTTCCCAGAACTCAGTGCCCAGCAAGAGTTCCAGAGGCAGCCAGGGCATCAGGAGGATTTGGGGTGGGGCAGAACAAAGTGCAGGTTCTCTCTGGAGGCAGGCCCAGGCGGAGGAGGCAGGACCAGGCGGAGGAGGCAGGCCACACTCTTCAGGCCGCCCTGAGGGCCCAGGGAGGAGGACTCAGCTCTGGCCTGTGGGCGTTGAAACAGGGAGGTGGTGAGTTGTACTCCCACCCGGGCTGGCACTGGACTCCTCAGGTCCCAGCTGGCCTCTGCCCCGAGCACAGGGCAGCGAATGCCTGGGTTCACATTCCAGCATCTGCGTACTGGGCTCCATTTGCCCAGGTGAAGGCTGGGGTGTGGCAACATGGTCCTTCGCCACATCCAGTCAGCCCTCTGTACCCACAGGTTCTGTGGGTCCCAAGCATTCAAACAAACAAACAAACAAACAAACAAAAAATACCAACAAATACTGGGGCCTGCAGGTGGCGTGGTGGTTAAGGCGTTGGATTTCCACATGGCCGGCCACAGTTGGAGTTCCAGACGTGGTGGCTTGCATTCTTATGTTTCCTTTCTCTCTCTCTCATCAAATAAAAATAAATAAATAAATAAATAATTTTTTTGGGGGGAGAGGTTTTTGCTATAGGGTGCGTGTGCTTGCCAGAAAGAGAGAGAGAGACAGAAAGGGAGAAATCACCCCCCAGAGGGGATGGCCATGCCGCAATCCCTTCTCCTCCATTCTCCTCTCGGGATCTTGGGCACACATGTACACACGCCCAGTGTGAGTTTAAGCCACCGGGTCTGGGACTCGAACTGCAGTCGACTACATGGGAGTCCAGTGACATAGCCATTATGCCAACTGCTGGCTCCCAAATAAATAATTCTTTAAAAAACACAAAAATTAATGATGCAAATTAAAAATACAGTCTATTTACATAGCATTCTCAGTTTTCCATATCATAAATACTCTAGATATGGTTTAAGTATACAGGAGGATTTGTATAGGTCTTATGCAAAAATGATGCCATTTTACATAGGGACTTGTGCATCCAAGGATTTTGGTACCCACGGGGGTCCTGGAACCAATGCCCTGGGGACGCTGAGGGACAACTATCTAACTCACTCTGTGTCAGGCACCAGGCTGGCTCATTTGACCCTCACAGCCGGTGAGGAGTTGGCATCATGCGTCTCCTCTTTGTAAATCAGGAACTAGGCCCTGCTCTGGCCGCGCTTGAGGGCCAGGAGGGATAAGGGGATCCTTGAGCTCCCTGCCCTGACCTAGCGTGTGGATGGTTTCTCCCAGGCAAGGTGCGCAAACACAGAACCGTGACGGGCAGAGGTGGGCAGAGCACCTCCTAGCACCCGGGCTGCAGTAGCTGTTCTGGTGCCTCAACCTGCCTGTGCCTGCCTCTTGGCCCCTTCCCTCTCCCGGATGCCACTCCTGTCCCTGGCCAGGTAGTCTGACCCGTCTACCACAGTTGCACAGGAGGCTGGGCTAGGGTAAGGTGACTCGGTGCTTAGGGGCCCTCCATGCAGGCTGGAAGGCAGAGCGCCCACATGGACCAGGAATGGCCTGTCCCATAGCACAGAGGGTTAAGTGCTGAGCATGAGGAGTTCAAATCCCAGCGCTGGTGGCTTAAAAAACACACTGGGTGCATGGGTGGGCATGCCCAAATCCTGATGGGACAGAGAAATGGGAGAAAATGATTGCGGCATGGCAATCCCCATGGGGAGTTTCTCTGGCAAAAGAGATGACGTATAAATAAGAAAGAAAATAAAATTACAAATCGACTCTTCCCCTCCCACCAGCCTATAAAAACTAATAATAGTATGGAGGCCAGCAGGTGGCAGGATAGTTAAGGTGTTGGACTCCCACAAGGCTGACTGTGGTTCAAGTCCCAGACCTGGTAGCTTGAAAATCATGCTGGGCATATGTGCGTGTGTGCCCAAAATCCCAAAAAGAGAATGGAGAAGGGATTACGTGTGGCCATCCCACTGGGGGCTAATTTCTCACTTTCCCTCTTCCTGCCTCTATGCCTCTGTCAAGAGCACACATCCTATGGCAAAAACCTTTTAAAAAAGAAGAAAAAAAAATGAATGAGAAAAACGCGAACAAGGGCCTCTGCCTTTCCCCTGCTGCTGCCCAGTCTCTGAGAGCCCTCCTGGCACGACGTGAGGAAGGGCTGGGCCAAAGCTCCTCCTGGATTCCGTTTCCGGAACATGGCCCCCAGGCGGCCTGCACGGGGCCAGCCAGCCATCCTGCAGGGCTAGCAACAGCCACCTGGGCCTGGCCTGGCAGGCGCCCTGGATTAGGAGGTCCCTAGGATCTCTTACTGCCACTCCTCTAGAGAGGGGTTCCCACGCTGGCACCTCTGTGCTCTCGTGGTCCTGCAAGGCCCCCAAATGGCTGTGTGGGTGCCCAACCCCAGAACTGACCCTGAGGGCTTCAACACGGCTTTTCCCTTCCGGGTCTCTGGGGGGACAGGCCAAGATTCGTGGACAAAGCCTGGGAGAGGCTGTCAGGAAAGGCTTCCTGGAGGGGGTAAACACTATAGGAAGGAATAGGCATTTGTTGGCGAAGACAGCGGGGAAGGGCTCACAAGTGGCCTGGCACAGAGCATCGCCACGCTGGTGCAAGGGTGGAAGGCAGGGCGGGGTAGATCGCCAATGGCCTTGAACCCTGGACTCAGGAGTTAGGTTTTGTTATAGGCAATGGGGAGCCATGGAAGAATTTAGGGTGAGGGAGTTCCATCTCCATCTGCTGACACACATATTAGGCCTTCACTCTATGAAAGTAAAATGACTAATCAAATCACATTTGATCCCAAGAGGTCATCTCACTTGCTTAAGCACATACAGTTGCATATATTATCTGTATTATTGAAGTAAAGTCTGCTCATTCTGCAAACATTTAAAAATGTTCCTTTTATTGTCATCGGGCATATGCACTTGTCAGAGAGAGCGAGCACCCCAAAACGGGGCACCGTCATGCTGCAATCCCTCCTCCATCTTCCATCCCGTCCTGACGCTGGGCACGCACACACTGAGCCTGCGGTTCAAGCTGCCGGGCCGGAATTCAAACTGCAGTGGGATCCAGCTTCCTATCAGCACTTAATGGGTGGCCCCGGGCCAGCCTTGACATCTTCAACTGAGGTAAAGCGGCGTTGGAGAGACCGTTGAGGTAGTCCACACCTGCTCCTGAACAGCCCTGCACCGGGAGCTCACCTCCTCACTGCAGGCAGAACCGGAAGCGAGGTGTCTGGGAGCGGCTGGGAGCCCTCCTGGGAGGGCCCGCACAATTTCCTCGGGCGTGGTAGGGCTGCCGCAGGACACTCGTCCCTCCCAGGATCCGCCTGGAGAGTGTGCGTGAATGCTCTTCGGCCACAACAGAGCACTAGAGATCAACCAGTCATTTTTACTAGATTTTATTATTATCTTGCGTTTATCTCGGGGGTGGGACACTTTCTTCAAAGTGCTTCTCCCCATGCCCGCAGCAGCTGGGACACGGCCCCTCCAGACATAGCTGTTAGGATGGGTTGGAAGGCAGGGCCTCCCCACATAGGGCCCCCAGACTGGTGCTGCCAGGGCCTGGGACCTGGGACCGGGTTTCCACCTGGCTTTCTTGACTCCCTGCTGCCTCTCCTCCTCTGAGAGCCCTTCTCATCTTTCAATCCCCTTGTGCGGGCTAGGCTGCTCTGAGCTCCCCTCATGACCTGGCTTCCCCAGGCTGCCCCAGAAGGTGCTTTGAGGTTCGATCCCCTGGTCTGCTGTATGAAGGCCCACATGCCCCTGGGCTCACTCGGCCGAATCTGCACCCCTGTCAGCCTCTGCCCTGAGAAGGGGTGGCCGGGGGCACCCACCAGCCTCACGCTGGCTGGGAGGGCTGCAGCTGGGAGGGCTGGAGCCCGTGCTCCCACAGTCCCCAGGCTGCCCCAGAAGGTGCTTTGAGGTTCGATCCCCTGGTCTGCTGTATGAAGGCCCACATGCCCCTGGGCTCACTCGGCCGAATCTGCACCCCTGTCAGCCTCTGCCCTGAGAAGGGGTGGCCGGGGGCACCCACCAGCCTCACGCTGGCTGGGAGGGCTGCAGCTGGGAGGGCTGGAGCCCGTGCTCCCACAGCACCCCCTCCACAGCCCGCCTTCCTGTGCAGCGGCTCAGGCCCCTCCCAGACCTCCCCGGGAAGGTTGCAGGTGGGGCGGCAGCCTGGCGACCCTCACAGGCCCATCCTCATGGCCTCATGCGTGGTGGGGCAGTAGCGGGCCTGGAGCTGGGCCAGCAGTGCCCTGGATGTGGCCTGGAGGCGTGTGCCCTGGCTCTTCTTGTTCCACACGTGGACGGCGTAGGTGGCGCCGAGCAGCCGGGGCAACTCCTCGGGGCTGATGTCCTCGAAGTACTTCTTCCAGTTCTGCCAGGGGACGGGGTAGAAAGCCTGGCTGGGCAGGGTGGTGACGCCACGGCAGGCCTGGCTCTCGTCCAAGCTGCGGATGGAGCACCACTTCTTGAAGACCCGCGTGAGCAGCTGCGGGCCCTGGTGGCCCCAGACCCAGCTGTTGTAGTGGGCCACGAAGTCGCGCATGCACAGCGCCAGGAACTCGTGCCTGCGCTGGAAGGCCAGGAAGGCGCCGTTGAGGACGTAGCGGGACTGGGTGCCCAGCGCGTTGCTCAGGTTCCGCAGGCTCTTGAGGACGATGAAGTCCGTGTCCAGGTAGATGCCCCCGAACTTCCACAAGAGCGCCAGCCTGGAGGCGTCAGACAGCACGGGCAGCAGGTAGGGCTCCCAGCGCCTGCGCCCCGACGCGTACCAGGCGGCCAGGGGTGTGTCTCTGAACAGCTCCTCCAGGTCCAGCCGGAGCAGCTGGACGTTGGGGAAGCAGCCCAGAAGGGAGAGGCCCAGGTGCCGGGGCAGGGAGGCGTTGCTGCCGGGCAGCCCTTTCATCAGGACCACCACCCGGGACTCGGGGTGGGCCCTGGCGGCCGACTCCACCGAGCACGTGAACAGGAAGTTGGGGCTGATCCTGTCGGAGGTCTCCAGGAAAAAGATGTTGCCCGGAGGGAGGGTGCTAGAGGGTGAGGTTGGGGGTGCCCAGCGGGGGCAGGAGATGTCCACGGGCAGGGTATAGAGCTGCTCTTGGTCCTTGGGCTCCCCCACGACATGCCAGTAGATCATGACGGAGATGAGGCATGTGAACTTGAAGCCGATGATATACACGGTGCAGACCCGCTGCCTCAGGGCCCCCCGCAGCAGCCGCAGCAGGCAGCTGGGGGTCTTGGACATGGTCTCTCCGGCTCACACCAGGGGCCTCCAGCAAGGACTGGCTGGTCTGCAAGAGATGAGCACCGCCATTCAGGCAGGCCCCTGGTACCCTCAGGCCACTATGAACCCCAGCCAGAGCCCACGCCAGCTTCCAAAGCCCATGGGGCCAGGGCTTGAATCCCCGCTCGCGGGTGTGGTGGGCCATAGACTGAGGGATGGGCAGGGTCCCTGTGTTTGTCACACACCTATGAGTGACATCCCGGATGCAGTGTGTGCAGGGACCCTCAGAAGTGAGGCTCTGCCACGTGGCACCCGTGGCACCTCTGCCCACAAGGTCTGCCCCACCCAGCCTGCGGGGTGCAGCCTGTGAGCTGAGGCCCGGCTCACGCACTCCTCGACTCCGTGACCCAGACCTGGGGCTGTCGGGCACAGACCTCACGGCCTCGAGCACCTTCACCACGAGCACCGGGGTCCAGCAGAATGGGCACCAGCTGGCCACATGGCCAGCTCAGCACTGAGCGAGATGCCTGGTTCTAGGCGCAGGGGCTGCCTGGCACCCAACGCCCTTTGCCCCTGGCACAATGGCTTCTCCTGGCCCCTTGGCTGCCCGGCCCTGGGCTGTGCCCAAAGACACAGGCCTGAGGTGAACAGGGACGGGGCTGAGTTGTGGTCCAGGGTGCCCGCTAGTACCACTGCCTTGGGACCTCTCTCCTCGCAAAGCCACGTGGCCAGGAACCAGCGACATTCTTGGTTCCCCACAGTGTCGGGGTACAAGACCAGCTTGGCCTGCCCCAGGGGTGGGGCTGTGTGGATGCCAGAGAGGCACAGGGCCCCACTGCCTCAGCCGGCTGGGAGACCTGGGGCAAGCTGCTAAGCTGAGCCTCCACCTCCCCACGTGTAGGACAGGAACACAAACCCACTAAAGGGTTACATTGGTTTATTCATTCATTCATTCGATCATTCGTTCAGTAAATACTGACGGTTGACCCTGTAGTGCCAGGTGGTCTCGGCATTTCACACGTATTAACTCATTACATTCCTTCAGCCACGGGGCGGAGGGTCACCACCATCACCCCATCTTGCAGATGAGGAAACGGAGGCTCAGAGAGGTTCGGCACCTCGCAGAGTCCCAGACAGTGCAGGGGAAGGTAGAACTCAGGCCCTGGACCCAGTCCCTATCTCGGCCGTGGCCACCCTGCCTGGAGGGGGCATGGCCAGTGCGCCTGGTGCCCTGGGGGAGCCCAGTGCGGCGACCTCCCGCACTTACTCTCAGCCACAATCCCGCCTCCTCCTCGGCCTGTGGAGTGCCCCGTACCCCATTCACGTGCCCGCTGCCCGCCCGCTGCCCACCCGCTGCCCGGCCAACCCCATGTGGTGGCTGCGCCATTTCCACGTAGGGGCAGAGAACGTGGGCGCCAAGGTGCAGAGGCACAGGGCACAGCCCGGCTGCTGTGGGGAGCGGGGCCACTGCTTCCCAGGACAGATGGGAACTTTGAGGGGCAGTCGGGCTTGAGCAGTTGGCCGGGGCCACCCGGGATCAAGGGCAGGGGACCTCGGCAACGTCACCACTGACCAGCCTGGGCGGCCCATTGTGGAGAGACAGGGACTCTGACAGCCCCTGGGCCTCCTAGACACACCCCGGCTCGGCAGCCGACCCCCACCAACGCGAACACGGCCCCTCCACACACTCACCAGGCCTGCAAAGCCGTCTGCCAGAGACGGTGGGAAGACAGTGAGGAGGACTGTGCTCGTTTCCAGCCACACTGCTCCACGGGGGCCACTGGGTGGTCCCTCAGGGAACACTGGGCCAGGCCCTGCCCTGGAGAGGGCCAGTGTCCAGCTGGAAACCAACAAGGGCAATACAGCAGACTATGACAACCCCCCCCCCCGACAACCCCCATCCCCACGGCTTCCTAGGGAGGCGACCGCCAGAGTGTCAGGAGGCCAAAGGCAATGAGGGGGGGGAGGAGGCAGCCGCAGCCCTGGGCCTCAGGGCCTCCTGGCATGATTTCCCCAGTGCCTGGCTCGCCCCGGGCGGTAGGCACACAGGGGACCCATTCACTCACTCACGGGCTCACCTGCTCCTTGGCTCACTAAGAAGCTCACGCTGATTCACTCACTTGGCAGCCCGAGGGCACTTGAAAAATACAAGTCAGAGGGGCCGGCAAGGTGGTATGGTGGTTAACGGCACTGGATTCCCACATGGTCGACTGTGGTTCAAGTCCTGGACCTGGCAGTTTGCTTCTCTCTTTCTAGTCAAATTAAAATAAATAAATAAAACTAAATAAAATAAATCTTAAAAAAAATATACAAGTCAGGGAGGGGTCAGTCAGTGGTGTGGTGGTTAAGGCAGCTGGATCCCACATGGCTGACTACGTGGTCACCCAGCAGCTTAAAAATCATGCTGGGAGGGCCGGCAGGTGGCATGGTGGTTAAGGGTGCTGGACTTCCATATGGCCAACCATGGTTCGAGTCCTGGACATGGTGGCTTGCTTTCTCACTCTCCCTCTATTTCTCGCTCTGTCCCTCTCTAGTCAAATTAAAATAAATAAATAAATAAATAAATAAAGTTGAATAAAATAATTTTTTAAAAAAGAAGGTTGTCAAAAAAGTCATGAGGTATTAAAAAAAAAAATCATGCTGGGTGGAGCCAGCAGGTGGCATGGTGGTTAAGGGTGCTGGACTTCCATATGGCCAACCATGGTTCGAGTCCTGGACATGGTGGCTTGCTTTCTCACTTTCTCTCTCTCTCTGTCCCTCTGTGATGACATTAAATATAAATAAGTGAAGTTAAATAAAATAATTATTTAAAAAAAAATGCTGGGCAAGAGTGCATGTGTGTTATGTGTGCCCAAAATCCCGAGGGAGAACGGAGAAGGAACTGCAGTGTGGCCGTCCCCACATCAGTGATCTCTCTCTCTCTCACTCTCTCGGCAAGCCCGTGCCCTCTAGCAAAAATTGAACACACACACACTCACACACACACTAAGCAAGTTGGGCCACATCTTTCCTCTGGCCAGACCGAGAGGCCTGGGTCCGCCAGGTCCCACTGCTCACCATGCATCGGCCTTACATCTCACTGCTTCCCCTGCCACCTCCTCAGCGCCAGCCTCGCCTGGCCTGGCTTTCTCAGACTCCCTGTCACTGCAGGGCCTTGGCACCCGCCAATTGCTCAGCTCAGAACATGCTTCCAGCAACGCTCACATGGTGTCCTCTCAGAGCTTCCCTCACAAACCATCATGCTGGGTCAGTGTGGCATAATGGCTAGGGCACTGGATTCACGTCCTGGACCTAGTGGCTTGAAACTCACGCCGGACGCATGGGCATGCCCAAAATCCCGAGAGGAAAATAGAGCACAAGAGATTGTAGCGCATCTCTTCCCCTGGGCGGTGATTTTTCACGTTCTCTCTCTGTCTCTCCAGCAAGTACACCCCCTCTATGGCAAACAAAAACAAAAACAAGCAAAAAAAGCCCCCTATGGCAAAAAACAAAATAAAACAAAACCAAACCCTTAACTAACTAACTAACTAACTAACTAACTAACTAACTAACTCATCTTCCAGCCAGGACCCGCCTGGCCCTCTAAAGCATGAGGCTAGGTGCGTCCTGCTCGGCTCAGCACCGAGGGCAGCGCCGGCTCTCTGAATGCAGTCAGGGAAGAGCGAGCGAGCGAACGAACAAGCCGAGCGACGAGTGGGTCAGCGAGTAACTGCGGCAGTTAGTGACCATGTGAGTGAGGAAAGCCGGGGTCAGAGGTTGGCAAGCCGGTCAGGACGGGCAGAGCCGCAGTGTGGATCAGGACTTCGTGTCCCAGGCCAGCAGATGGCATGGTGGTTGAGGCTCTGGACTCCCACATGGCCGACCGCAGTTAGGGTCCCGGACCTGGCGGCTTCCTCTCTCTCTTTTTCTCCACCGCTCTCTGGTGAGCACATGTGCCCTATGGCAAATTTAAATTTAAAAGAATAATAATAATAAATAAAACTTGGTCCCTGTCTTTCTTTTTTAAGAGGATTTGCCTTAGGGCATGTGTGCTTGCCAGGGAGAGAGAGAGACAGAGACAGACAGTGAGAAGGAAAGTAAGAAATCACCCGCCCCCCTCCATCCCTGGGGATGGCAACGCCACAATCCCTTCTCCTCCTGAGATCTTGGGCATACACACACACAAGCCGGGTGTGAGTTTCAAGCCACCCGGTCTGTGATTCAAACTGTGGTCAGCCATGTAGGAGTCTGGTAATATAATCACTATGTCATCTGTTTGCCTAATTTTTTTTTTTTTTTTAAGAATTATTTATTTTTGGGACCAGCAGTTAGTGTAATGGCTGTCGCTGAACTCCCATGTAGTCAACTGCAATTCGAGTCCTGGACCCGGTGGCTTAAAACGCATGCTGGGCGTGTGTGCGTGCATGCCCAAGATTCTGAGAGGAGAATGGAGGAGAAGATTGTGGAGTGGCCATCCCCCTGGGGGGATGATTTCTTGCTTTCTGTCTCTCTATCTCACTCTATCTTTCTGGCAAGTTCATATACCCTATAGCAAAAACCTCTCCAAAAAAATATATTTTATTTTTATTTTTATTTATTCATTCTTTTATTTTAATTTGACCAGAGAGAGACACACAGAGAGAGAGCGAAAGGGAGAAAGCAAACCAGCAGGTCCGGGACTCGAACCATGGTTGACCATGTGGGAGTGTCCAGTGCCTTAACTACTACCACGCCACCTGCTGTTCCCAGCCTAATTTTTTTTTAAAGAGATTTTTGCTATAGGGAGCATGTACTTGTAGAGAGACAGAGAGCAAGAAATCACCCCTTTAGGGAGATGGCCACACTGCAATGCCATCTCCTCTATTCTCCTCTTGGGATTGTTTTGGACACTTGCACACACATGCCTGGTGTGTTTCAAGCCTCTGGGTCCAGGACTCGAACTGTGGTTGACCATGTGGAAGTCCAGTACCTTAACCATTATGTCAACTGTTGACCTCTGGTCCTGTCTTTCTCCTGCAGGGTGAGAGGCTATTTTGATCTTGATTTTTTTTTTTTTAAGAATTATTTATTTAATTTTATCTGTCATTATTTAAAAAAAAATTTTTGTCAGAGGGGCTGGCAGGTGGCATGGTGGTCAGTGTGCTGGACTCCCACATGGCCGACTGCAGTTTGAGTCCTGAGCCTGGTGACTTGCTTTCTCATTTTCCCTTTCTCTCTCTCTCTCTGGTCAAATTAAAGAAAATAATGATAGTGAATAAAATAAAACAAATATATACATATTTTTGCCAGAGGGTACTTGCACTCGAGAGACAGAAGGAAAGGGAGAAAGTACCCCCAAACACTCACACCACAATCCTCTCTCCAGCTCTCCTTCCTTTTGGGATTTTGGGCACACACGTACACGTGCCTGACATGTTTCTCTAGTCACTGGGTCCAGGACTCGAACTGCACCGTCAACCATGAGATCCAGCTGCCTGAGACACCAGGACACAGAGACAGCTGATTCTGGGTAGTTTTACCCCAACATGGCCCACACTGGTGGGGACAGGAGACAGCTGGACAGACAGGCTGCTGGGGCCCCACAGGAGAGGAGCGACATGACCTCCTCGCGGTGTAGGGTGGGCCCTGACCTGCCAGGGCACGACGACCACAGTGGGGAGTGCCGGGCTCAGGCCACGCCATATTTGGTGTTGGAGCCGAAGACCAGGAATAGAAACCTTGTGCAGGGCCCACGTTGGCCACAGCCCAACACCCACGTGACCTCAGGCCTGGCACATACCCCCAGCCCCTGGACGGGCCTCACAGCCGCGGTCTGGGTCCTGGTTCATGTCAGCTCAGCCGGGCACATCACCGCTGCCTTCTCCTGTCAAAGGCTCACAATTCCCACCACATAGTGGGGAGGGATTTCCAGTCAGCTGTGTCACCCCTGCTCCAAGCCCTTTGATGGCTCCCTACCATCAGGACCCTGCCACGATTCACCCCAGGCAGGAAGGGGCTGAGTGGACACGCAGGGCTGGTGAGGACGGAGGGCCACAGGCCTGACTGGACCTTACCCTCAGCACCAGCTCTGCAGGCCCCACTTCAGGGAGCACCAGCATCAGGGGTCTCCAGCCTGGTGTGCGGCACCATCTGTGGGCTGCATCACTCTCGCCTCCCATCGGGAAGCTGCCCCCTGGGCCTCCCTGGGCTCCTGTGCCCAGCCCAGCTCAGCCTGGCACTGGCCACCCATGACTGTAGAACAGAGCCCGATCTGGTCCACATCAGAGCTCACCTCCAGGCTGGTGCCAACTGAGCAGCCCCAGGAGTGCCAGGCCTTGTAGACTCATGTTCTGAAGGGGGACGCAGAGGCCCGAAGAGGGAGAGGAAACCAGCCCAGGGTCTCCAGCAGCTCCAGAGTCCCTGCAGGGCCAGCTGAGGACTCTGTGGCGGCTG